CAATGGAACTTCAATATATCAAATACTGCTCAATTCAACGCAAGACTATTAGTGGGTTGTCGAAAGCAACCGCAAATGCACACAACCACAAACAACAACGACAACAAGGAGAAGAGCAACCGATAAACAAAAACAACGTCAACTATCAAAACAGAAAAACAAAAAGACCACCCGACAAGTCCTCGGTCTTGTCTTAACATCAATTATCCAAGAGGATGACGTCCTCCGTCTCATTGGCATCCTTCCTCTGTTCTTCCCCGTCAACAATCATCTCTTCGTCGTTGTTGGTCTCAGTCTGGTTGGCTTGCCCAGCTGATGCTTCGGCCGTTCCTCTGTCGGCGGTCCTCATTCTTTTTGCGGCCATATTCACCCCCTCCTCCACATCGTCCTCCCTCTCCCTCTTCTCCCCGACAACTTGCGGTTCATTGGCTGATCTCTGTGGCATCGTTAGTTCTATAGATCGTGTGCATAAAGCCATCCGATCATTACATACCGCCTCCCCTGCCTTGCGCAAGGTACCGTCCTCGTTGACCAGGGCATTCACCAATCTCGTCAAAAGATCCCTGATATCCTGTTTCTGTGTGAGTACAGAGCATATGTTATCTGAAATTGAATTACTTACTACCAGTGCCCCCGCCATAACCTCAACGTCCTTGTTGAGCAACTCATCGCTTTGGTGGATCTGTTTGAATTCGGTTGCAAGCCACTTGGAATGCTCGACCTCTGCCTCAATTTTTTTGATGCCATACAACGCCCGATTGGTGTCCGGAAACATGGCGGCTGTCGACCCCCTCGGGCTCTCATGGCCATCCGTCAGATCGACGGAATCAACGCGGCCCTGCCTCTGCTTCGTCTGCTTGCCCTTGCGCTGGGTATGCTGCTGCTGGGGCTTGGGTTGGGGCTGGGACTGGAGTAGGGGCAAGGGCTGAGGCCGGTGCTGGTGCTGGTGCGCGACTTGTTCGGGCTTGTTTCCACGTTGTTGTGGGTGCTCCTTGGGTTCCATGCTCATTCCCACATCGTCATTGTCATCATACATAGACATATCATCATCAACCATCAAGTTATCATCCTCTGCCGTCCCCATGACCGAGATTGACCTTGTCCTTGTAGCCCCTCCACGATTTCCTCCCCTGGCCCCTTTCTTCGTCGGGGTATCAGCTCCCTTATCTTCGGATCCTCTCAGGCGAGTAGTTGCACGAGGAGTCTTCGTTTCTGGGCCCAAAGCGTCGACCAATTCCTGGGCGATTCTTTTCAATGACCATTTGTGAGTAGCGACCTCATCTCCTGTCATCGTTGTAACGGAACCACCAGGCTTCCAGTCACCTACAGAACGGTCTCACCGTATAAAACAGACAGCGGAGAATAGTTAATCCGGGGTAGGCAGAGCGTAAGGCGATGGGTTATATCTCACCACGCTCTGCTGCGACCGGAGGTAGATAGTAAGAACAACAAGAATATTATACGGTTATACCTACATACATTATTGATTATTTATCAGTACACTCCAGCGAGGGCGGTACTAGATACTCTGTTCAGCGAGCCTGAGAGCCCTGTAACAATGGTAGCATGTGCTTAACGATCTAGCTCTGAGTTTCCGTTGCGAGAGTTGTGGTGACGCAACGACGTATTAGAGCACTGGAAGTGGTGAAGAATCACCGGTTTTGACCACGCTTCGCGGGACAGCCGTTTTTAGGACCCTTAACCGGCAAATCCAACTGCCAGCGGGTCCCTAGAACTCAGCTCCTACAGACGTTGTCAGAACAGCGGTGCATCAACCCAGACAAATCCACAGCTGGACAATAGTCCATCGCCCTATTCAATCGAATCACATACCAATCGCTTAGCGGTAATACCGCCCGATATACGAAACGCTTTGTGGTGATTAACACACCTTTAATACCACGATGAGCGCGGGTGCGCAACGCACTCGAAGCATCGACCAGCCCAGATCTGAGCAACTTGCAAAGCAGATCTGGGACTACTACATCACCAACAGAAGATATGCCACCCTGTTGGCCCCCAAGACAATTGCCTTGGTAGGCCAAATACTGGGAAAAGATGTTGCTGGAGGAACTCCCCAATCTCCTGTGAAGGAACAGAGAAGGACAAGGTCTTCAGGAACAGTGCAGAACAAATGGCCCTCAGAATGGGAACTCCATAAGTCTCATCTGGCAGCTGCTGTGAGGGAACTGCACCAAGGATATGGGTCCTTAGGACAAGAGCCAGGTTACTCTGAGATGGTAACCCGCCTTTCTAGGAAAACCTTCTGGGGATGGCCACCATTGGGACCTAAATCACTGAGAGAAGGTCACCCACTGGCCCCCATACCAGAAGACAATGCAGAACCTGTGCCCTCCCCTACCACTACAGTGGCTAGTAGAGAGGACTTAGCCGAAAGAGACAACGATCCAGTCGCGCGCGAGCAAAGCGTGGACGAAGAGGTTACACCCAAGGCGGCGCAGCGTGGTGTTGAAACGCAAACTCTTACTACGGAACGAGGAGAAGGCAAAGGACAAACACAATTGATCCCTTCGTCCCCTCCAGACCAGTCGTCACCTCCCCTGCGCTCTTCTCCCTTAGAAGACCTCCCACAACGACGGAATTGGCAAGGTCAGAGAAAAGAAGGTGGTCCCAGGGGGCGAAGAGCGAATGCGTCAGAACCCCCAGATTTCCCACGACGGTTTCCCACAGAGGAGCGTGGTAGAACACGGGATATCCGGCCTACGCAAAGTGACCGAAATGAACAATCACGCGCACGGGCCGCTTGGGAGCATGCAGCCTCATTTGCCAAAGGAGCGCTAGTGACTGGTGTCTCAAGTTTCGTTGGATGGAATCAACCGGCAGGCCAGCGCACACTCACCGACCGTGAAGAAACGCCTGCAATTAGCCCACGCACCGCGCCACCGCAAGACGTTTGCCGCCGCGATTCGCTGGAACAGGCCGATCAAACGCAGACCCCGGTCACGGTAGGCTCCTTCCCTGTCCAACAGACACTTGCCAATCAGTTGAGCAGAAAGGCAAAGCAGGAGGCTATCCTCACACCTGAGACCTCAAAGAAAATGGGTAGAGACCTAGCTCCCCCCCCTCTGAATCCAGGTCCCAGATTCACTACCAGAGTGGATGGACCAGAGGACAGTCTCACTAGTGACAGAAGGTTGAGATCTCTACACCTTCCACAAAGACTCGCTCCTTCTGAACAAACTCCACCTGATGAGCAATCGGTAAACACTGAGCGTGGTGAAGATCCTATAAACGCACCACGCCCCGTACCGGAATTCTTCGCAGATTACCACATTACGCAACACCCCAACATGAATGAAGACACCAACCGAAATAAAGGAAAAGAACGAGAGCAGCAGCCCATTGCTGGGCCTTCCACGGACAATTCAACCATGGAAGACCGTCTCACCCAGGCGATGGCGGCTCTCATCAACCAACAGTTCAACCAATTGAACTCTCGCCTTGTGGCCCTAGAAGGCAGGCCAGCTCCAAACGAGCCCGCATCCTCCTCGCCACGCCGACAGACTAACGGACCGCCTCGCCACACAGCGCGCGGACAAGCCGTTATTCCCACTACAGAGCGTCGGGAAACCCGATCAACGACCGAAGAACCGGAACTCCCTACAGTCTTGGTCCCTATAGACCGCTCCAGATACAGAGGGTGGAAGACTAAGGATGTAGGATTCTTCTATCCAAATGCTCCTACATCTATGGGCAAAGGAGACAGGGTCAGAGAGCGTGGTTCCACCTACTACAGGATGGTTACCACTTTCACCAGGAGGGTCAGAACTTATGCAAAGCTCCACCCTGCCTCCCCTCTCAGAGAAAACCTGGATGGCCTCCTAGAGGGAGTGGCCCAAGAGTGGTGGTGTGATGCAGTAGAGGAGGAAGACCAGGTCTACTATATGACTGAACCTGACGGTATCGAAGCGTGGCTGAAACGGTTGGAAGATCACTTCGCACCGTCGCCGGAGGACGCGGAAGCTCACCTCGCCTCGTTGAGCTACTCCCCTGCCGACGCTCGCCACGATCGCAGCGTGGAGGAATACCTCGCTTCGGTGCGCGCCGCGTGCAGAGCTTTCAACGAGGACACCACGGAAAACGACGTGGTGTACAGGGCATGGAAACAGCTCCACCCCAGGCTCAGGAGGAAGGTGGACAGGCCAGAAAGAGGGACCAGCATGGCCGAGTTTAGAAGCCTGCTCCTACGCAAGCAGACCACTTGGAAGTCGCTCCCATTGAAGGCAGGGGACGATCCCGATGACCGCTATGCGTTGGTGACAACCTCAACTATGCCCACGAGGCGTGGTGAACAAAACGGTTGGAAATACAACACGCCGTTTGGGCGTCCTGAGGGAGCAGTTTCATCCTCTGCAGGAAACTCTGCCCCCATGGCGGTAGCCCCTGCCCCTGCTGCCGTTCCTGGTGCCACAGGGTTTGATCCTGCAGTATTCTCCCAACAGCTCCACGCTCTCCTACAATCCCTGGGACAGTCAGCTCAGGGGCAAGTGGCTGGGTCCTCTGCACCGTCACATATGGAGGGCGTCCGCAAAACGGGTGCCTCCCCCGCGGTGCGTAGTGAGAACACACACGATACACGACGCTTTGATAAAGGAGCTGGTTTCCGACAACAATACCAGCAGGACCCCGCCAGGCGTACGCGTTATGCCAACATCACCCTCGGTGAACCCGAGTATGAAGAGCCCGCCGATCAGAAGGAAGAATCCTCCAGTGAAGAAGAACTGGAGGAACCGGCTGTTCAGCAATAGGAAAGCGTTGCTGCAAACCCTCACGCTCGCCGCAGAGCGCGAGGTTTAAACTCAAACTTGCACCACGCTCTGTCGAGGGTATGCAGCACCTGTCTGGAGACCTTCCCCAGTGGCAACGCTCTCCATAGACACATTCCTTCGTGCAAGCTGCCAGCTCGATGGGCCCTGCTCACAGCCGCCCATAAATGCACCTTATTAACCCCCAAGTTTGGGTCTAAGCTCCCCCAGACAATGGGCGGAGACAACGTCCATTATAAGATTGCTACCATTGTGGTAAACTATGACAGCGCTCCCCACGCCACTACGGCGTGCTTGGACACTGCCTGCGACACTACGGTCGTCTCGGAGGACTACCTCAAAGAGTTTGTACCGCGTGCGGAAATTGAGCATATTCCACCCCTCTCCGTGCGGGGAGTAGGTGGTATGGTCACCACGGTGCGTCGAGCCACTTTCGTCGCATGGGCAGAGGACGGCACTGCTGACCCAGGGGCCGTGGGGATCCCCATACTGGCATATGTCCTCACTAAGGTGCCCGGTCATTTGCTGATTGGCATGGACATTATGGGACCATTAGGTATTAAAATCGATGCAGAAAGCCATGAAGTTAGTTTTAGTGATGCAAGAGATCAGCCCATCCCACTACAGATTACTACCAAACCACACTATTTCAAAAATCGGTCGATCCGTACTACTCAACAGACCGTGGTGCCTTCCCACTCAGCCGCTACACTCCCCGTGGCGGTAAAAGGCAAAACACCCTACGCTTTGCGACGGGACTGCCTGTTCGAGCCATCCAGCACTGCCTGCATTTCAGTGTACGCCGCTCTGGCTAGGCCTGACATGAACCTGGCACTGGTGGTCAATGAGACAGATAAGCCCATTGTGGTCCCCTCCAGACATAGATTGGGTACCCTCTCAGACATGGAACCACACTATATGAAAGAGGCAGAACCACAAGCAGCCTGTCTAGCTCTCATGCGCCCTACCGCACAGGACAGAGGCTTCTCGGTCTACACCGAAGAAACTGGTCCCGACGGTGCGCGCGGAGTAAATGCCACAGATGACCACGCTTCGTGCCCGCCAAAGGAGCTTGTTGACACGACGCGCACGCTCCACAACGGTATCACCATTGCCGGGGATGACGAGAAAGCGCGCGCGCTGCAGGAGCTAGTTTCTCGCTACAAAGCGTTGTGGGAAGACAACGGATCGACAGTCGATATCCCCCACTACCGGTGGATGCAGATACCGTTGAAACCCGGTGCTGAATTCCCCAAGAGAGCCAAAGTCTATACCCAGGGCCAAGATGGGAGGGAGGTAATTGACAAGACCTTTGATACCCTCCATGATCAGAAAAGAATGTCCTGGGCTGAGACCCATACTCCCTCGGCCTACCCGGTGTTTGTGGTGTGGAAGTGGGTGGAAGGAAAGCGTGGTGAACCACCTGTCCGCAAGGGACGCGTCGTGGTGGACATTCGAAATCTCAATGCCATCGCTGAACCAGACATCTACCCGGTGCAGCAACAGGATGACCTGCTCAGACGGATTGGTGGAAAGAAGTATTTTACCGTGGTGGATGCAGCTTCTTTCTTCTACCAATGGCCTGTAGCATACCGTCACAGGAACCGCCTAGCAGTGGTCACCCACCGGGGCCAGGAGGTGTTTAACGTCGCGCCAATGGGATACATCAATAGCATAGCGTACGTGGCGCGCCAGATGGCCATTACGCTGCGTGGTTGTGAAGATTACTCGTGTGTCTATGTGGACGATATTGTCATCTACTCTGACTCTTTTACAGACCACCTTAGTCATCTCAGTACTGTCTTCTCACGCCTTAATGCAATCAACATCACCCTCAGTCCCAGCAAGACCTACATTGGTTTCACCAATGTCAAGCTCCTTGGACAAAAGGTGTCCTCCCTAGGTATGACCACCACTGCAGACAGAGCAAAGGCCTTGGTCCAATTGAGTTTCCCCAAGACCCTCAAGGAGCTGGAGCACTACATTGGCCTCACTGGCTGGTTAAGAAATTTCATTCCCTACTACGCTGCTAAAATACAACCCTTGCAAGACCTGAAGACGGCTTTATTAGCCCGGTCTCCGTCAGACAAAGGGGAGAAACGACGTGCCTACACGAAGCGTACGGAAATTGGCGATCCTACGCCCGCGGAGCGTGCGGCGTATGACGCCATTCAAGCATGTTTTGTGGGTGGGCTGTTTCTTCGGCATCAGGACGCTTCTAAGGTCCTTTTCATGGACATTGATGCCTCCAAAGACTATGGCTTTGGGGCCATGATATTCCATGTAAAGGACTCATGGCCAGGGCTGGTGGAACAGAACTTCAAAAGGTCACCTACCAGAGATGTTGTGGAACCCATAGCTTTCTACAGCAGATCCCTGAGTGCAGCTGAGAAAAAGTTCTTCCCCACAGAGTTGGAAATCGCCTGTCTCGTCTGGGTGTTGCGAAAGGCGCGACACATGGTCGACGCTGCGTGCAGAACAGTTGTGTACACTGACCACGCTTCGAACGTGGACATTGCCAAACAGGCCACGAACAGCACTCCTGCTGGTGGAACCAATCTCAGGTTAGTCAACGCCGCCATCACCATCCAGTCCTTTAGGAATCTGGAGGTCTTCCACATCCCTGGAAAAATCAATATAGTCCCAGATGCTCTGAGTAGACTGCCTCAACCTGAATGGCATGACGGTATTCCCTCCAGTGATGAACCTATGGCTACAGTCCAAGTTACCACGCGCAGTCACCGTCAGCAGTCGCTCACGCCGGTGCCACACATCGTGGTGACGCCACCGCAGGACGACCACGCCCCGTCGCCGTTAGAGCTAGATTTTCCCGCGCCGCTACCCGAGCAGCTTGCCAAGGGAGAGTCCACCTTGCACATTTCTGACACCCTCAGGGGCAGACTCAGAAGGGGCTACTTGGAAGACCCCCGACTGTCAAGGATCATGGAGGAAGTGGTGACAGCCGCTGACAAGAATACCTCCAAGGTCAAGCTCCCCTATTACCTCGACCAGCAAGGTCTGCTTTTGTTGCGGACCTTAGCGGTCTGGTCAAACGCATTGAAAGAAAGAGTAGTCTATAACTCGACCAGTGGTTCGCTGTTAACAGTTTCTAGTCTTGCTCAGGACACATGTTGATGCGGAAGCG